ATGTTCATGTTAGTGTCCATGCTAATGTTCATGTTAGTGTCCATGCTAATGTTGATGTTAGTGTCCATGCTAATGTTCATGTTAGTGTTCATGCTAATGTTCATGTTAGTGTTCATGTCAGTGTCCATGTCCACATCAGAGCCATGTCACGCAGCTCAGTTTGCCGACAAGCTTCCGCCGTGACGTTAGCTAACTGGACATCAGTGCATAATCGCACGGAGCGCAGCTGAACATGGTTCACACTGCTCACATGTTCGTGTCCTTCAACTTCCAAACAACATTACACATAAAACAAGCGCTTCACAAGAAACCAGTGCGACAGAAGTAAGAATATTAGTGTCTCACCTCCACAACGAGACACGAGCTCACGCTGTCAAACCTGCAGAGAAACACTGACTGCACCTCCGGTCCGGCGCTTTCAAAATAAAAGATCCAGTACGCTGGTGTATCCCATTTCCAAACACTAGAAATCTACTCAGAGCGATGCTACATGAGCCACTCTGTCCCATACATTCTGTCCCATTGAGTCAGTATGTGCTGCAGTATTTGAATGTTTAAATATAAAGCTTAACTTTTAAGCACACGTGAGTGAGTGTAATAGACAAAATGGCGACATTATTGTTATTGTATTTTGTCTTTAAAATCTTTAACACTCCGTCCTTCACTCCCCTCTCCTTCTCTTTATGTGCAGCTGTTGCCATCCAGTCATTTTTATCATGAGCATTTTAATCAATTTGAGCATTTATTTAATATTTTACAGACTGCCTCCTGTGTATACTATGTATAATGCGCTTTTATTATTTCATATATGTTTAATATGCATTTTAATTTTTAAAAAAAACCTATATATAAGCACTTATTTTTCAGTGTATGTTAGAGTCATTTCACAGTTTCCTAAGCATTAATGTCCATATACTGAACAGAATCTAAAAACACAACCCATGTCATTGTGTGTTCATATTAAAACCAGCAGAAGAGCCAGTGAGAATAGATGTTTCAGTATCAGACAGAACGTATTCACCAGGCTGCAGTTTGCTGTGGTCTGCTGGGGAGCAGCATTGGAGCCGGTGACACCAACAGAATCAACAAGCTGATTTAGAAGGCTGGCTCCCTCATTGGCTGCAAATGCAAACTCTTTTAAAGTGGTGTTGGAGAATAAGCTGTTATCCATCATGGACAATCAAAAGCACCCTCTCTATCACCTGGTGGTCAGACAGCGGAGCACTGTATCTGTTGGATCTATTTGGATTAAAGATGTCTTGAATTGCATAAAGCTGGAAAAATTAGGTACACACTCAATGGGTCTATAAATAAGTTCTGGACAATTTGGGCCCCCTTCTTTTCTCATGTTAAGAGATTACATTTCCCCACGAGCCCAGAGTGATGTATATATATATATATATATATATCATTTTTATTTTCCTACTCTCTTACTTTATCCTTCTTGGATAGAGGTGGGGAGGCCATGGTGTGTGAATACTCAAGCTCTTGGTTGTCAGGAAGGACTTCATTGGTTGAGCTTGTTGTCCTGTAAAAACTGTGTTAACATATTTTTTGTTACTGTTTTTTGTGTATTTATTTGCTTATTTTTGTTTGTGTATTTTAATTTTGTTTTACTATTTTAATTGCTGTTTTGTGACATATATGTTATATTGTGATTTGGTGATTGTTACGTCCCCTGGGTGGAACTAGGAGAACAGGAGGACCATAACCCACCAACAACCAATAAGGTGATGAGTCAGAGCAGATTTGACAAATAACGTGTCATTTATTTCAATTGCAAATTATAAATGCAAACAGAACTCACAATAATAGAATATGGGTCGAGGAAGAACAAGGAAGTTGCCAAATCAATAAAAGAAATATAACAAACCACGCCTGACTGTTTGCTACAGCTTAAACAAAAATCACAAACAAAAGGCCTCATCTGATAATCTAAAAAATAGCTTCATTGAAATAAATACAAAGGTGGCAACAACTGACCAACTGACTAGTGTGCCTAAACAAAAAGGAGTACCTACGTGAGTGAATGAGTATCCAACTTACCTAGTCCTTCCTACCCACCACATCTACTATGGTATTTTAACAAGTTTGCTATTATACCAACACAACAACAAATCATGGGTGCTGCACACAGGCTGAGGTCAGAGAGAGCAAAAGAACGAGACTCTCAGGTGTGCTCTTTTTGTAGATGCCCCCTCACTGCCGGTTGGACATGCTCTACTTAGTGGAGGAAGGGACCACTCCCATCTCACCTGTAGAGAAAACAGAGGGAAATGTATTCACTGGTACAAAGTGACTGCTCTCTTCAGTGTTGCCTCCTTGTAGGACAGGGAAGAAAAATAATACAATACACCTTTGCTTTTGCATGTGGCACACCCTGCAGAGCTTGTCTAACCTGCCAGGAATGCGGAGATCGTAGGAGGGGGCATTACATCCACAAAGGCAAGGCAGACTGTGTGGACAGCATAGACTGTATATAAAGATGTGAACCATTTGCTGTGTCTTATAGCCCCAGCAAGACGGTCCAGGAAAGAGGTAAGAGCTCCCTGAAT